TCAAAATGCATAAAACAACTTTCTCAAAGAGAAAAAATAAGAATAAATAATAAATAACCATAAAAAAACAAAATTTGAGAAGTAAAATTAGTAATGAAAAAAGAAAAACAGAAACCAAAAGCTATCAAGAAAGAAAACGTTTGAATTCTCCTCTGTCAGAACACTTACATGAATGCACATTTACCTAAGTCTGTGTCTACATGTATGTCCTTAAGTTTGTCTTGAAGTGTATTCAAGATCATTTTTAATCGTTTTATTTAGTGTATATTATTTAAAATATAAGTCTATCACACTTATTTATGTATAAATAAACGGAACTAGCAAATAGTTTCTCAATGTCTTTACAACAGGAAACAATGATTGGATTTTTTCCAATGGGAAGATCACCAGTAAGATCCTTCAATCTTTTGTAATGAATATTAGAACCACATCTAGTGAATTGTGGGACACAAAATTTAACTAATATATTTGTAAATGTTACAGAAGTTGAAAGATATTAATAGACTGTTAGTCAATGTTGTACCTTAAACAGCATAATATCTACTTGACTCAAAAGCAATATCTGGGCTCAGAATAGTGTCACATACTTTTAACTCCAGAACTTGATAGGCAGAGGTCAAGTATCTCTGTGAAATTAAAGATAGCATGGTCTACATAACTAGTGCCCGGACAGCAGAAACCCCACACCTGACTGACAAAGTGTTGAATTAATTCAGTTAGTTAAATGCCTAGATTCGTAAAAATGTGTATATTTAAACAGCAGGTTAGCATTTGCTCTTCTTTTAACAACCCCAGACATAAAGCCATCTAAGAAGGTTACTAAATTCTTACTATGCCACTCACACAGGCATTGCCAATAAAGCAAAAATATCCTGTATCACCATAAAGCACCAATGGAAAGCAGAGTTTGGGGTGTTAATATACAGAGAACAGCATATACTTCTCAAATTGCTCTTATATCTGACTGATTTCTGGCACAGTTTTAGCAACCCACTCAACAGAGTCTGAAATTTCTCAAAGAGAAACTAGTGCAGATGAATTCTGAGAAAAAGTAGCAATGTGTTTCAGTTACCAGGGTACCACCTTGCTGGAAACAAACACAGTCACTGTCTTGGAAAAGAGATTAAAAAACATGGTAATCCAAGATAGTACTTTTCACAGGTAGCTTCCATCAATTCATGTCCTGTTCAGGAGGCTGATCCATACACTAAGAGACTTCAACTATACAGGAGCTCTTCTTGAAATAAGAAGATCAGTATGGAAGTCAGTAGTAACCTCCCTTCCACAGACTGCCCTGTCCTCTGCAGAATGGGTGCCTGAAGGAAAGCAACTCAGCAGTGAAGGATGCGTCTGTGGTGCTAGCTGCTTGGTGGGAACTCCATGGCCATTGATTCCCACAACCCTCATGTGGTTACAAAGTTGACAGCAATACCCAAGATGAAGACTGAATGTTCTTTGAGCTCTTGCCCCAAGACAGGACCATTTCACAGGAATCAGCAATGGCAGTCTTGCTGAGAGGGCAGACAACACCAGCAATGGCAGTCTTGCTGAGAGGGTAGACAACACCTATTATAAAAGTTGTTAGTATCAATAACGAAGAAAATATTTTAGATGAATAGTGAGCATCACAGAGGGGCAGGATGCAAGTGAAAAATGGCTCTTCTCTCCTGAGATGCCAGAAGTAGATAAAAAGACAAGGAGG